ATTTCCGATAAAATGTAGACGGAAAATAAGACGTTATATATTTATCCGTTAAAATTTTATAAGATAAATCAACAATTAAATCGAACTACATTATATTATTACTTGAATATGTCATCCGAATACGCATTGGCGATCGACGATACCACATACCTGCCATTATTGTTCTTTAACACTTTTGATGTTTTACAAATTAATTATTAATATAATTGTAATTATAATTATAATTAAATATAATATCTGCTAAAATTTATTAAAAAATTATGTGCCAATTTTACCAACAGGTATGCAACAGATGTAATCATGTCGACGACAGTTGGTATCAAATCTAATTGCATTGAAGAACCAAATAATGAGTATCGAATGCAGAGAAAAAAACTTTTTGAAATGAATTCAGTTTGGATCATATTAATGGCGTTTGCCCCACAAATTTTGGATTTCTTTTCCATGCCCATCAACGATCGAAACGTCACGAAATTTTTTATGAATATATTTCAAGAAAATATAAAATACAGGCAAACGCATAACATCGTCAGACATGATTTTATGAATCTGCTCATTGAACTCATGGAAAAGGGCTATATTGGACCCGACGATGACAAGAAGACGACCAATGTATCATGTTAATATACAAATTTTTTATACTTATTTTTATATCGATTTTTTTACGTGTCTTATGAAAATATATATAAAATGAGCCAACGAAATTTTTACACTTCCCTTTTTTGTAATAAATTGATTTGTGTCGATATGAAATGTAATCAATACAAAGCAATAATTTTATTTTTAAACAGAATATCTAATTTAATTGTAATAAATTCAATTATGTTTCTTTATTCTCTTTATTAAGATAGTTATTTCATCAAAAATCTGAAATAATTATAGAAATCAGATGACATTTTTTTGGATCCTACTTCTAGAAAAACAGCATTTCGAAGCCGTAAATAATAAAAATTAAAAATTTGCAATTTAAGGAAAATTTTTTTGTATATATTCAAAAAATTCTTTATATAACATTTACATGCGATATTAATGTGGTAGTAAATATAAAACATCACTACACACTACACCAATATTGCACACATATGCATAAATCATTGGTAAAACAGCGATGTTTGGAATAAAACTGCCGAATAGGGGAGCCCCCTCCGATCATGACCTTGAGTGACCTTCAATAGGGCTCCTCTATTCGGCAATCTTGCCAACAAAACGTATTTTAATTATTTACAGCAACTGTAAATAAACTTACCATGGCGGAAGCTACTGCGCAAACCTTTATCTTCTTCGTAGCTGGCTTCGAAACTATCGCGTCAACATCGACATACGCTCTGTATGAATTAGCTCAAAATCGAGATATACAGGACAAAGTTCGCAAAGAAATTGACGAAATGTTAGCAAAGCACGGTGGTCTGACCTACGATGCTGTGAACCAAATGACATATCTTCACAAAGTAATAAATGGCAAGTATTTTGTTGCACAGCGTTTCCACTTAGAGATACAATTTTCAACAAAGAAATCTTGTTATTTATATGTACATTTAATATGCATATGTAAATTGCTTCTATATTTTAGAAAAGACTTACATATCCTTCTTATGCATATTGCAGAGACTATGAGAAAATATCCTCCTGTTCCAATATTGAATCGCATCTGCACCAAAGATATAGATTTGCCGACAACGAACATTCGCGTGCCAAAGGGAACATTAATAACTATACCGGTGCTTGGATTACATCGAGATCCATCATTTTATCCAGACCCGGATAAATTTGATCCTGAGCGATTTGACGCTAACAAAATAGAAGAAAGGCATCCTTATACTTATTTACCATTCGGAGAAGGTCCACGAAATTGCATTGGTGAGGATATCAGTAAATATATTAATATCTTACATCTCACATGTGCATGTCAAGAATCAAAGAGTTCGGTATCATAAAATACAGTGAGAATAGTGAAATAACACATATAACGTTTTGCCAAATATTATTGCTCTAAACATGAAAAATATGGTTTAAAAAATCTGAGCTCCTTAATTTTAAGCTCATTTAAATCGTCAGATTCTGAACTTTCAAAATTAGATTATAATATTTTTAAGTCTTCTAAATCTCTTGCTGGGATATATTAATTTAAAAGCGTATCAATTAATTCAATTTTTAGCAATACAACTAAGAGAAATTTACATATAGAAAATTTCATTTTATTAGAAAAATGATATTCTATCCAATCAATTTATTTTATTAATTTGGCTAACAATCATGACTTACAATTAGACTTGGTTTACAATTTACTATCCACACTCATCCATTTACTCCTACATTCTTTTTACTATTAATTCAGTTTTTTTTTTAATCTTCCTTGCCTTCCCTCACTCATCTACTTAATTATGCCAATACCTCCCCTATCATTTATAACCTTCCCTACATTTGATCTTTCTATTGTTCTTACTATACTCTCAAAAAAATCATTTCAATTTACCCACGCTCTCTCCACACGTTCTACACATTATATTTTCTACTTCTTTCCAATATTTATTCTTTTCCTTTTCGTTATCATATCTCTACTTATAGCTGCCAATTTTTTACTTCCATTTTTCCCTAATTTTCTCTTCAAATATTCCGGGATTCCTCAATGTTCTTACATCTCTATTATATGTAGATTCCATTATCTTATTGTACATATATATACCTCTTCCATATTTCCTTTCTTCTCTTCCTCATTTCCTCATCAGGAGACGCGGTAGCGGCTCCCACCAAGTATTCACTAATCCCTCTTTTCTAAGTAATCTCTATGCACATCCTCTCTGCTCCATTATCTCTATAAAACATTTCCCTTCCATTTATCTTCTTCTTTCTCTTTCCTTTACGTTTTTTCTTACCAACACTCACTTTAGCATTTCTTTTTCGAATTTCATCCTTTCCAGCAAATCCTATCGATTGTTTTATCCTTCCTGTCTCTTTCAACATTACATATCCTGGTATACGTGCGATCAAAGCCTAAGTGCCACTTCAGCTATTTTAATTGCATCATCTTCAATTTGCCGTTATCCCTATACTTCCGCACCATAAGACTTTCGCTTTTGCGAAGGCTCTCATTCGGCAGAATGACATCATTATCGATATGACAGGAGATTCCGAGACATCACGAAGTTTCTCGATCTCAATTCAAAATTGCGGTTTAATGCTAATGACTTGACTTAGAATCATACATTCTTCAAATATATATACATACATACACGGAAAGAACAATTTTGCTAAATTCAGATCTGAAAATAATTTTTGTTCAATAATCAAAATTATTTTATGCAAAAGTCAAAATGATTGCTAAGATATCAAAACGTTTTATAGCAATACTTATCAGTTTTAACATTCCAACATTATTTTGGTGATTCAATAAAAAGTTATTTTCAGATCTGTTTTTAGCAAAATTTTTAGGTCTTTCAACAAAATCGTTCTTTCCGTGTATATAAACTTTTGTATATATGATACAATTCGAAACAATACTTAATACGGATTAAATAGTATACTTAGGAAAAGTTTCATTAAATCTGAAATAAACTATTATCAAATATTTTATAAATTTTGTTCATTAATATTATTATTTTTCAGGTTCACGATTTAGCTACGTAGAAACGAAAGTTGGACTTGTGAGTCTTCTGTCAAAATATAAATTCAAACTTCATTCCCGAACTCCAATTCCGCTTGTTTTCGACGAAAAAGCTTTAATTCTCACAGCGAAAAATGGTGTATATTTTAATATCGAACCGCGATAAAAAAAATCGCACTATTGCGTAAATTAAATATTTTCCCTATAGATTTAATAAAAAAATATACATTAATAAATATAACTTAGTGAAGTAAAGGCCTATGGGAGCCAACACGGATGTTTGTGTAATAATTTTTACAATATCTAACCACACACAAACTACGTGCTGCATATTCGTCGGTCTTGAAACATTATTCATAATGTGAACGATAACGGATTCAATAATAAGTATAAAGCATTATTTTTAATAAACATACTTTTATTTTGAATATTCTGCAGTCGATATGAACTATCTAATTTGTAACGTTTTATTGCCTTTACCTGTTATAAGTGTTAACTGATTCTTTCAATAAAATAAAATATTTACTAATTGTGCACAAACTAATTATATCGATTACGGATGATCTAATAATATACAGGGTGTCCAGTAAATCGCATGCAATACTTCGGAAGGTGATTCGGGATCCAAAAGAAGGAAAAAGGATTCGTGCTAGCGTGCTCGCATTTTATATACATCTTATCAATTCATACAGTCTGAGCACGCCAAGTTTCTGCTTCACTATGATCCCATTGGTCATTTTAGTTAGATTAAACCTATTTTATAAAACTTTAAATTAGTTGAAAAGACAATGACATTAAACTTTTGTTGCAACTTATGTACTTTTAAATTGTTTAAACAATTTTTTTTTAAATATTTTTTATTTGGAATAAAATATTTTTGTATGTCTAATCAAATACTTGACAACTTGTATAATCTCATATTTGTTTTGGACAATCTTTATTTGTTAAAACAATATTTTTAGTTTAGATATTTTTGGTTTAGGAACGTAACGTACGATACTTTTATATACTTGGTGTATAATTTTTTTCTTTTTCTGAAAAGAATTTTTGTTAGGAATGCATATTATTGTCTCTGACGTTTCCACCAGACATTTTCATAAGTTTTGCAAAAGAAAGATTTCTTATTTCTTGTGCAGTAAAAAAAATATCAAATTCTCGTTCAAGAGTTTGCTTGATTTCAATGACCATCATGGAGTCTACTCCAAATTCGGCCAAAAGCGAATTTTGATTTACAATTTTCATATCTTTTATATCTAAAACATAAAATAGAATATTATTATCATATGTTTAGTAATAAATATAATAAGCAGTTGCGAAATTAATTGTGCGATGCGTCATTATATTGTAATTATCCTCAAACTATCGTAGAGGGTGTTAAAAACTGTAAGTCCACACACGCATTACGGCACTAGCAGCTTCATAATTAATTGTCTTAATATAAATTAAATGGTGTAAGTAACACTCAGACGATAGTTTAAAGAAATCACGTACTGTCCGAACAATTAAATTAATACAATATATATGCATACGTGCAAAAAATAATTCTACATGAGCATAACTACCTAAAATACTAGCAACAGCTTCTACCATACTGCCGTAAGATTCCGCTTTCTTTTCACCTACGACCATGCTGCTCACAATCGGCCGGCTTTGAAGTAAAAATTTATCGAGTTCGTCGAGACAGCAGGATATTTTTTGCTGCAAAGTGCCACCAGTAGTCAATTCTTTACCTTCCTCTTGCATATCTGCGAGGAAACCAACGTCGCCCACAGCTCCCCATTGAATTGCCAACCCAGGTAATTCTTCCTTCGCCCTTTTCTCGCACACTCTCTCCATGACGGAGTTAGCCATGCCATAATTACTTAGTCCAACATTTCCTCTGCCGCAGGAAACAGAAGAGAAAACTACAAAATGCCGCAGATTACGGCAGATGTTTCTAGTAAGTTTGTCCAATGTTTGAGTTGCTCGAGCCTTCGATTGAAAGGATTCCGCAAAGGTTTCAGCAGTTTGATTCTTCAGAATGCCGCCCTTGTATACCACACCAAGATTGAATATCGCGTCCACTGGCCCTTCTCTTTCCGCAGTTCGCAAAAGATATTCACAATCCTGAGTGTTAGCAACATCAATGTCCTTGATAATCAGCACATTTACACCGTACGATTTCCACAGTCGAACTTTCATGCGCTGATAACCATTTTTTATTCCAGTTCGTGAAACCAACACGACGTT